TCTATGTTGCCATAAGCTGCAACTGTCACATTGGAGGGCATGCTGTCTGGTAGACACCTTCCGTGAACACACAACGCACTCGTCGGAACCCATTTCGAATATGAATAAAATTTCTTTGGTACCATTTTAATTTCTAGCATCGCAAAAAAAAAAAAAATCTCCTTTGATAAGCAATTATTAACATGCATCAAAGCGGCTATAGGGTGGACAGAGCAACCAATTACATCTGCGTAAAATTACGCCTAATTAACAGGGTATTTAATTCCATAGTGTTGAAATAACAAGTTTATTGTTGAAACAACAGTACACTATTACATTATAATAATTATAATAATTATATTGAGAATTTAATAGGTTATTCAATTAAATTTTGATTGAAAGTCAAAAATAACACAAGCGGTATATTTCAATTTGTAAAATCATCACCAAAGCAAAACTTTTTGTTAGTAATACATTGTAATACATTAAAAACATCTTTTAAAAATATACAATTTCATTAAAAATATATATATATATTTCTTTAAATTCATTACAAATATTCTATTCTATATGTATAGGCCGAGTCCGTAATAGGCCGAGATCGAAATAGGCCGAGTAAGTTATAGTCCGACTCTGTTATAGTCCGACATCTCTAGTACCCTGTTTTTCGACAGAAAAAAATATTTTTTTTTTTGTACAGTCAGCCGAAACAAATTAAGAAGTAATGAATGTTTATTAAGAAAAATTTCTAAAATGGAACGTTTTAAAAGTACAACATTTAAAAAATTAACGTATAATTGTTTCAATTGCCAATGACTTACTAGAACAAGAACTTGTAGTAAACAAAGGAGTTGTTCTCCTTTGTTTATTGAAATTATATATTAATTTTCATTCCTCACTTTTCTGGGGCGAAACGCCTCATTATGGGGCGAACCGTCCAACATTCCTTGATACGCACAACCCTAGTGTTAAACTGTATGGTCACCGCTTCTTTTCCACTAAAATTCAGTCTAATCCGTGCTTAGTCCCGGGGAAAACATCCACAAAAAAGAGACAGCGAGTAACTATTTGAAAGAAACACATATACTTTATGATTTCCCTCAGATTTTTTGGGGGTGGGGGTGGGGGTATGTCCTAATTTTCATCAAAATAAAAGAAAAAATCACGACCATGGCATTTGTACATGTACAATTTTATGATAAAGAACCGCGCCGGGGTGCATTATATATTTCAGGCAACGAATTCACAAAATTGTGATAAACATATAGTTTTACAGTCAGTTTGAGAAACACAATCTCTGATTTTGTATCGGATATGCACAATTTTCTGTGAAGCTATACTTCACAACTCTAAGGTATATCAGTATATAGATTACGATCAAACTATATATAGTTTACAATAGTTTTGTCCGTAAATCATATAAATACGGTTAATTCTAGTTACAACATGATAAGATTTTGCTATGCAAAGATTATTTTCATTGGTTGTTAAAAATGCATGTATATTTCTCGTTGATATTAAAAGTAAATTTTCAATCATTTTAAAGCAAATCTAGTTGGAATTAAAAAAGATAAATGACGACAATTATTGATTAAAATTCATTTCTCATTTAAAAGAGAAAGAGAAAAATGCATGTTAACTAATTGTAATCAAGTTGAAGAGGATGGGCGAACAAGGCGAACGAAATGCCTACAGTGCGACAAACATGAAGGTGAAAAATTAAATCTCAATTATAACAAAATTGTCTTTGATATTTCATCTAACATTAAAGTATAATTTATAATGTAAAATCTCTACAATTTGCAAAAATCTCACAAAGATTGAAATTATTTGCCTTTGAAATAGCATACACACACTAAAGAGGGCAAAAAGGATCAAAATGATCCTTTTTGCCCTCTTTAGTGTGTGTATGCTTTAACACATACTTTAACACAATTTTTTGATATGAGTGGTCTTCCCTCCATTTTTTGAAAGTTTATTCTCAAAGTTTGCGTAAAAATATACATTTTTTTTAGTTAACAAAAACATGGAGCAAAGATCCACTATACCTTAAAAATGCACTTTTATGACACAACATTCGCATCTTTCCGAGAAGAACTTGAAGTCCATTAAGTCAAAGATCATATCACAAACTTGAGTTGTGTAGCGTAATGGTTAGCGTGTTAGTCTCACAGGAAAATGATACTCGGATTTTTATTTCTAGGGTTCGAATCCCACGAGTACCAGATTATTGTTTTAATAATTTGATTCTGATTGTAACGCGCCATTTGATTGGATAAAAAAAATTACTTTATATCGTATAAATTGGGTTGCCTACGTCACAATGACTTGCGTCAAAAACGTATCAATCCGCCTGACGTTACAATTAAATTTTGTACAATTTGAAGTCATTTTTTAAGGGCAATCAACTTTTTTCTTACATTAAATGAATTTAATAGCTACCCAAGTTATACTAGTATAACCTGGGGTGGGGCAGTTTACGCTTTATAAACCGCGAAGCGGTTTTTAAACAAGAGGCCTATGGGCCAGTGGCCACATCGCTCACCTGAGCACATTGGCTAGGCAAAAGCACAAATCAGTTCAGTATTGAAATAATTACTGGGGGGGGGGGGGGGGCTTGAATTTTAAACTACCTGATGATGCTTCCATGTCATTATAACAAATGGCTTTGTTGTACTTGAGAAGTTTTTAAGAAAAAAGATTTTTAAAGATTTTTCCTATATATTTCTATGTAAAACTTTGATCCTTCATTGTGGCCCCGCCCTACCCCCGGGGGTCATGATTTGAACAAACTTGAATCTACACTACCTGAGGATACTTCCATATAAATATGACTCTTCATGGCTTTGCTGTTCTTGAGAAGAAGATTTTTAAAGATTTTTCCTATATATTTCTATGCAAAACTTTGATCCTCCATTGTGGCCCCGCCCTACCCCCGGGGGTCATGATTCGAACAAATTTGAATCTACACTACCTGAGGATGCTTCCATATAAATGTGACTTATCATGGCTTTGCTGTTCTTGAGAAGAAGATTTTTAAAGATTTTTCCTATATATTTCTATGTAAAAATTTGATCCTCCATTGTGGCCCCGCCCTACCCCCGGGGGTCATGATTTGAACAAACTTGAATCTACACTACCTGAGGATGCTTCCACATGTGTTTCATCTTTCCTGGTCTTGTGGTTCTTGAGAAGAAGATTTTTAAAAGATGCTATTAATTTTTCACTAATTCTTTATTATCTCCCCTTGAAAGAGGGCGTGGCCCTTCATTTGAACAAACTTGAATCCCCTTCACCCAAGGATACTTTGTGGCAAGTTTGGTTGAAATTGGCCCAGTGGTTCTTGAGAAGAAGTCGAAAATGTTAAAAGTTTGCAGACAGACGGACGCCGGACAAAAAGTGATCAGAAAAACTCTTTTGAGCCTTCGGCTCAGGTGAGCTAAAAAAAGCGTAAACTGTTCCAACCCAGGTTATATCAGTATAACTTGGGTAGCTATTAAATTCATTCCTTATAATTGAATTTTCCATCATTAAGTGTAAAAAATAAGATAATTTCTCCTTCAAAAATGCCTTCAAATTGTGCGTATTTTAAATGTAATGTCAAGGGATCGATACGTTTTTGACGTAAGTCATTGTGACGTAGGCAACCCAGATTATACGATATATTCTATTTTTTTATCCAATCAAATGACGCGTTGCAACCAAAATTAAATTATGTAAGATTATCAAGAAGAAAAATTATAGTCCAGTAATTCTGGTTACACGAAGCAGGGTTTGTTTTCTTTTTAATATAGAACTTATGGCAATGACACGTTTAGTATTGCCTCTCGCGATTGGTTCTGCGAGATTTTGAATTGAAAACTGTTTCGAAATAAAATTTGTGGCCACGAAATAAAATTTGTGGGAATTATATGTACACAATTATATGTACATATAGTGTTAATGATAATTTGCTATGGACCCAGTGAGGGTCTGTCCCATGACACACAGTTAGATTATTGTAACTTGCCCGCACTGATGAACATCATTATAAATACCCATATAATTAATTTGCATATATATTAGAAGCAGCTGAGAATTGGTACATGCATTATGAACATAGTCTACATGTAAAAAGAAAATAAACTCTCTCTTTTGCTCTGTGCCCAAAATTAAAACAAAACATTCAAGCCGATTCAATTGACTGTTCTGGAGTTTAAGGCAGTTCAATGATACTTCATCCAAAATGATATCCTAACCAGATAATAAAACAAAATGAAAGTGTTCTCTTCAGCTTGTCATCATGATACATGACACAGCATGAAGTCCCAACTCATGATTTTTTAGATGATATAATACACAGGGACAATTTTATATTAGTCAAGTTATGTATTTTTCTTAACTATAATAACTTTTGTAAGTTTTGTTCCTGATATTAGTCAAGGCAACCCGAACATTAATGACTTTAAGGGCTTATTTGCTGTTTTCTCACATTTTCTATTGAATCCTATCACATAGTTGTAATGAAATAAAGACACAAATTTGTTAGGAGTATAACTTCTCATGTGAAACATGTTCTACGTATCAGCATCAAATCTCATTGCTTATTACACAAATATCCCCTTGGCTCATTCCAATTGAATGATAATAATATATAAGTTCGTTCATCTTGAATGACATAAAACAGAAGAAGCTAAAAATGGCGTTATATAGCACAACTTTATTTCGTGGCCACGAATTTTTATTTCGTTCCCACGAATTTTATTTCGTGGCCACAAATTTTTATTTCGTTCCCACGAATTTTTATTTCGTGGCCACGAATTTTATTTCGTTTCCACGAATTTTATTTCGTGGCCACGCATTAATAAAAAAATTCTCATACCATGTCCTATACCAGCCACCATAAATTACACATCATAGAAACAAGTTATGTAAAAAAAAAAATCAGCATCTATACGTATCAATTGTTACTGAGAGTGTAAAAGGGGGGGGGGGTCAAAATAGAATAGGTACGAGAAAAAAATACACCCGATAATCTCTAGACACAGAAGGCGATAAAGGATTGTTGAGCGAAAGCACGTTGGAAAATCTCTGTTTCAACTTTCATTACACTGACAACTTCTAGCGGTTAGTACAAAGAAAGCTGAGCTACTTGTAGAGTATAAGTTATAGTATAACACCTGTGTTTATGCTTCTTCTTTTTTTTTTTAACATCGTAGATACATAATTAAGATAATTTGTTTTACGACCGTGGTGTCTTGTAAACATGGGAGAAGATCATGTGGCGCTCAGAGTAACAGAAGCGATAATACAGGTCTTTGTATAGAGATATAATTATTTACTTTCTTCATCTTTCTTCATCTTTATATTGCTTACTGTATCAGCATCACAAGCCAGTACAATCAGTAGAAGATATCAATAACTGAAAGTTTCAAGTAACTTGCGACTGTATCTCCCCCCCCCCCCCCCCCACCCCCTTAGCACCAGAATAGTAAAAAAAAAATTATTCACTAATCAAGTTTACACGTATTTAAATAAATTGAAAATAATTGCAGTGTACCAGAAAGATATCAATACAGTCATTTAGGGTATTCCGAATCACCCTGCATTTCACGAATCTTGGTAATTTACCTTATCGCTGTATCTCGCACGACACATGCACACGTGTGACAACCAAATAGTCATTAACAGCATGATCTATACATATTACATACAAGAAATAAAGAGGTAAACATAATGTGTTAATTAAAAAAATAATAATTTTATTTATTAACTTGCTATTCTTTTCGAAGAAAAAGTCCATATAGAAATGTTGCATGTATTTTTTCATCGATGTCGTGGCGTTGTTTGTGGATGAAACATGGCATATTAGGTATCGATAGAATGGCTATTTTATAAGCTTTCACGAGCATTAATTGTTTTTGATAACAGCTTAGATATATATTAGTTCTGGCCGCATTTTGTTTGGGGTATTTCGAACCACGTGTGTACATGACCACAGCCGAATAAATTGCACACGCTACATACTTGTTATGTGTCAGATATTTTTATAACATTGCTTTTCTAAAATGCAAGGGATAGGAAAGTAATGATTTGGCAAAGCAAGAGATAATAAAACCAGCCCGGGTATACACTTGATCAGTGTTGATCCTTTTATCGAATACAAATACGGACATGCATATATCATGTACACATATACGTACAAGTATGCGTATGTGCAAGTTATGCAGTGATATATGTCAGTCTTGATAATCGTGACATCTAAGTACGAGTTGGTTTAATTCCTTTTCATACAATTTTTTATCATCATCATTATTATCTTTTTTTTTTTGGTATCCTACGCGTTGAATTAGGTATTACATTTTCAATTTTTATTTTTTTGCATTGAAAAAAATTCACATGGGTAAAAAAATGACATAATTATATTTACAAAACAATTTACAGTAAAGTAATTTCTGGAACCATTATTTTATAATTGTTGGTAATTGCTTTTCTGCATGATCCGCCTCTGAGAACGCTGTTTTATAGTGCAACTACGGGGGGGGGGGGTTTAATAACTTAAAAATAAACAAGATCAAGCAACAAGAAAATAATTCTTTTTTATTTTTGGAGCCTTTTGGTAAACAATACCAACTAATTCATTAATTACAATTTTGTTATCTGTCTGTTTTTAACCCATTTACCTGGTGATTCGAAATACCCGGAAGTGACCCGCAATACAGTAAAAAGGTGATGTAAATATAACCCCTGTCAAGGTCGCTGTATTGAAGATAGAGTCGCCCTATAAAGTAAATCTTATTTTTCATAGAATTGGCTTTCCTTTAATACCAAACAACCATTTATTAACTTGTTAATAATATTGTTTGCAGTCAAAATGTTAAAGGTGATTCGGAATACCCTAAATGACTGTATTCATTTATCAGCTTCATGGATTAAAAGAAAACCAATACACGTACTCCTTCCTTCTTCATGTTCTTAATTCCATTTTTAGCTCATCTGAGCTCTTCTGATCACCTGTTGTCCATCTTCCATCTGTCTGTCCATCCGTCCGTCTGAAAACTTTTCACATTTTAAACGTCTTCTCAAGAACCACTGGGCCAATTTTGACCAATGTTGGTACAAAGCATCCTTGGGTGAAAGGGAGTTTAAATTGTTAAAATGAAGTGCCAAGCCCCCTTATTAAAAAATCTTCTTTTCAAGAACCACTGGGCCAGAAAAGCTGAAACTTACTTGGAAGCGTTCTGGGTTAGTGTAGATTCTAAATTGTTCAGATCATGATCCCCAGGGAGTAGGGTGGGGCCACAATAAGTATTGCAAGGGGGGAAATCTGGTGACGAACAGCAGGGTCAAAGTTACTCAGGTGAGCATTCTGGCCCATGGGCCTCTTGTTTACTATTTCAAATATTATCTTCAGAAAGTGTTCACCATAAGAGAAAGATGCGTATTAATTTTGTGGTGTGCTGACATATTTGTCTTTCTGTCAACACTTCTTTATTGACGTGATAACTCGGGTATTAGTTCTAGACATATATTAGTGACTTTTATAGGTCACCTTGTTCTAAACATTGCTAAGTACAGGGTTGTCACTTTCCTATGACAGCCCTCTCTCTAACTGTTAGTTTTCTAGTTTCATTTTTTATTTCAGAATTAGGATTGAACAACTATGGGGTCTTCAAAGAAATCTGATGACTCAGTTGATGAAAAAATTGAAAAAGTAATCATCAAGCGACAGATCACATTGCTACAAGGAGTTGCCATTATTGTAGGAATCATAATTGGCTCTGGTATTTTTGTGTCTCCAGTGGGAATATTGAAAGAAACAAAGTCTGTAGGTTTTTCCTTGGTGATGTGGGTTGTATGCGGCATTTACAATACCCTTTGTGCGATATGTTACGCTGAATTAGGAACTACAATACCAGAATCTGGAGGAGAGTATGTCTACATCAAAAGGGCATTTGGAGAGATCCCTGCATTTATCTGTCTTTGGATAAACTTTCTGCTAATATGTCCAGTTGGTATTGCAGCCTCAGCATTGATATTTTCCCTGTACATCTTGAAACCCATGTTTCCAGACTGTGAAATTCCAGAGGAAGCCTTGGCATTGTTGGCTGCATGTATATTTTGTAAGTATCTTTAGCTGACCAAAGGGAAAGGCTTCATGATCAAAGTTTGTACATTTGTCAGCCTGACTTTCTGTATGTCATCTGTCAGTTAATGTTCCATAGATTTATATCTTGTCACTGACTGTCATTTCAACTTTTAAGAATAGTGGCTTCTTCTTGAGAACCACATAAAAGTTCTAACTCATGTAAATACATATTATTTAATTTCATTTATATTTGAAAGTGAAATATTCTGGTTTGAAAATCAAGGTCCCTCAGGCCTTGGGGTTGGATGAGGCCCTTAAGGGGAAGAAGGACCTTGAGCTGAAAAAATACCTGTCATTCAATTTTTTTCATATTTTGTATATTTCTTATTAAGTATGTCCCACATATCTTAAAGCAGTTATATCATTAGGTTTCTTACCTTATTTTAGAGATATTGATTGACAAATACTATGCCCTACAGTATCTAAAGTAGAGTTTTAGTTCTCCATGTTTCCGGGCCCATTACTCTGTCCATAATGGGATTTTTTAAGCAAAGATAAAAAATATGTAAGTGGACATGTATCTTTTAAAATATTTCATAGTATGAATAGGGTTTAAAATTCGAAAAAGCAAGTTTCTTCTATCACACTGCATCTGGATAGCGAAAATTACGTACTTTTTAAGACAACTTTAACAACAAAAAACGTAATTTACCAAAAATTCTATCATTCAATATTTTTAAATTTACATTGAAATGTAAGTCCTTCAAATTATTGATTAACTGTAAAAATTTCGAATGGTGAAGCTGACCTCAATATTGCACAGGACATCGTTAAAGAGGACATAAGCATGACAAAAACATGTCATGTTTACATTTCTCGAGTACGGGAAAAACCAACTATGACGTCACATGTAAGCTGAATAAGCGAAAGAAGATATACCTACATAAGATTTCCGTCATCAGCCATGCAAATATAATTTTTGTATTCCCCGTGTCTCAGAATATTTTATCATATACTGATTAAGACCTGTTTTCACAAAGTAACACCGCCCCTGTATTCACTGAGTATGATGTTGCTGTACTAACAGATCGTGTATGACGTCACCGACTTGCTGGACGCGCAGTTTAGGGAAACAGAGGAGTGGATCAATCTTTTTCATAATTTGTTAATGTTTACAAGAATTTTAAAACTTCTATTTTTTTCATATAAGATGGTTATTAAAGTTAAAAAAATGCCAAAAAATTATACAAGAACTGATGCTTTACACGCTTTGCTCTTACATAAACGGAGACTATGACGTAGTTAAACAGAGTCATGTGTCCTTCTCCTCCTTAAAGGACATCAAAGTTTTATGTAAGAATATAAAGAATATAATTATATACGAGGGTTATCCGGTAAAATTGTGGACAAGTTGTCTAGAGAGAAAAATAATCCTCACTGCGTTCTAAAATTTTCACCACACTTTAGTACATTTTTCATCAATATACATAGCAAATTTCAAATAGATATATGCATAAATAAACAAATTATGACATTTTATGTTATGTGTGGTATCCCCACACGGATTATAACGTCAAATTGTATGAAGCAGCGTCATGTTTCCTCTTTGCTAAAAAAAAGTTGGATAAGTCCCACTTAAATTCGAGAATTTCATTGATGCACATGCTTGAGTTTCCCTTTATTCCTCCATAAGCAGTCGAGGAACCAATCTCGTGCACACATGGGACCTTCTGAAGATTTATTAGTAAGTTATGAACAGTACTTTCACTATCATTCAACTAAATAGACTATTTTTTATCGACGGTCTACAGTGACAGCGCCTTTTGCTATTGTCAGTAGCTGTTTGTCGAACTTTGTCCGAATGTTTTGTTCTAAACAGGGACTCGATCAAGAGATTCGTTTAGAAAACACCCATTACACTTGTATACTAAAATTCTAGTGATTTTTATTTTTTTTTTTCTTCTGTAGTCATTTAAAGTCTCTAAGGGCGTCATTACTACCTCTAAATCAAACTAAATTGCTCTGCGGTGTGCCGTAACATCATCGAATGTCGCCATTTTTCGTGTGTTGTGTTTACCACTTTCCCATTTGAAATGCTCAGGAAACTGCCCAAAATTAAGCAAATGCCTTGAAATTTTGCAAAAGACGACATAATATAGTGGATTAAAAATAGGATAATTTTTACCCCAATCTCATCTATTTAATACTTTTATTTTGAATTAATACTCAAATATTCCCTGATAAAACCCCGATTTTTTGGTCATGCGCTGTAGGGCCATGCTCTGTGCACATTCAAGTATAATAAAATCCTTAATTTTGAATATATAATTTATTAAAAATATTAAGATATACTTAAATATGATTAATAAACATTTTCAATTTCAATTTGAAAATTGAATTGAAAATAAACATTTGCTGAAATTTCAGCTTAGTGCGCCCATTATTTATCAATACAAATGCTTTGTCCACGATTTTACTGGACAACCCTCGTATATAGAAAAATATTTTTCCTAAACTGAAAAAGAGCTGTATTTGCTGTAGTAAGATACATTAAGGGTTGTCCAAAGTTCATGGACATTTTTTTGTCAAACTGAATAATCCTAGATATACTTATTGTATACCAAAATATTTGTTATGAAAATCAAGTCAGAATAGTTTTGGTTTTGATTATTTGAACTTCATATTTTTGTAAAAATTGTGGTCTTTAAAGGTTGCAGATAGTGCACATTGTCCAGGGTTAAAATGCTATGAACTTTGAAATAAAGTTGTCCGATTAAAATGATTATTCTATTCATAAAACAAGTCAAAGCTTAATAAAAATTCAGTGTGTCACTCACAAATAAAGCTGTTGTTGTCATTATCGTGTATTGTTTTGAATTTTAAAAATTTACTCAACTATGGTCTATATATAATTATTATTGCACACACTTGGCAGTGTGGCATAATAATGAAAAAAAAAGTGTATATCCATAAACATGAGATAAAAATTTGGAATCCACATTTTTGACATCATGAAACTATAGCTTTACATCACACTGAGCCATGCAACTTGCATGTACAAAGTATTTACACCCATAATATTGGTAAAAGAGTGTATATTGTTTAAATTTTATACATTTACTAAATTACGGTCTATTTTAAAATATCATTGCACATGTTTGGTGGTGTTGTCATTATTAAGAAATGAAAAAGGTGAAAACAATGAACAGCAACAGATCCCAAATTCTACAAACAATACAAATCTGTGAACAGGGCATAGAAACTTTTTTCAAAAATTCCAAAAAAATATTAGTTTCATTGTTCAAAGTTTTTAATGATGTCCTAAAATTGATTATACACATGTATTTATCAAGGTGTTGGCCAAAAGGAAGAAATTTAAACATCATAGAAAGTTCACAATTTCCTGATATTTTAGAGATGATATTTGCAGCAAGACTGTCTGCTAGCCAAAATTTTATTTTTGCATGGATTTGTATTTTATTAAAGATTATATACAGTAATAACCAAAATTCATAAAAAAACTTTTCTTGCTTATAATTACCAGATTACGGACTTGCAAAAAAGGAGGTGTTGATAAAATTTAGTGATCTACAGTATTGAGATATTCTGATACTTCATCTATCTGGATCATTACATTCCAGACAAAGTTATTAGGAGGAGGCAACACTTTATACCATTTCCATAGGTTCTTACCTTTGCCAGCAGTTGAATATGGCTTTGTTTTAATAATTTTTTGGGGGTTTATTTAGGTCTGTTAATAGCAGTAAACTGTCGTAATGTAAAATGGGCAGCAAAAGTTCAAGTGGTCATCACATTAAGCAAGCTGATAGCTCTTGCCATTATCATTGTTATCGGAATGTACTACATCATTGGAAAGGGTAAGTCCAAATAATTTATATTGGTATTTTCAGGTGAGCTAAAAACCAATTCTTAATGATCTTGACACAAATTTACAAATATGCATTGCATTTAAGCAGTCTAGTTTTTCGCTGTACTCAATTATTTACTCAAAAAGTTACATTACAGTTTGGATGATATTTTAAAACCGTCATATATGGTGTATTTTTTTTAAAAGTTCAGACTACTAAAATTAAAAAGATCTTTCTATTTGTTTTATTATTTTATATAAAGATAGGACTTTCCTGTAAATTACACAATTAAAAAAATCGCAATTCAAAGATATAAGAAATTTAAAACAATAACCAATTTATTTACCGACTCTGCATTTAAATAACAGACAGAGTTTAAAGTCAATTTAACTATGGAAACATGAGGTTATTCAAGTTCAAAATCGGTGAAAATTTTAATTTGAACGTAAATAACATACCGGTATATCATGTTTATCTACCCTCAATTTCGTATTTTATTTTTTTTAGCTCAGATATGCCATATATAGCTTTAATCCTAAAAGTAAATTGAAATAAAAATAAAAACTTGTTAATTACAAGTTATATAGAATTTTGAAACGATATTAAACATGCAGGTAATTGTTAGCTCTGATGGACAGGAATAGTTTACCGGGGTAATATGAAATGTCCATCATTCATCTATTTGCCTCTCTTTAGATTTTACAATTCAGTCATAATATATAAACAGTGAAATTAAAATTAAGAAAAATGTAACATTTCTTCACTAAAAATCTATTAACAAATTATTACTCAGGTGAAAATTGTGGTTGTTGGACATGTTTTATTTGAAATTTTCATTTCAGGAGAAACAGAAAATTTTGAGAATGCATTTGAGGGTAGTGATTATAGTGCTGGAGCGATTGCTATTTCGTTTTATTCAGGATTTTGGGCCTATAGTGGATGGTATGTAGAACTCCTTTCCCTTTCATTTGATACAGTATTTGGGGCATTTAAAGAATGTAAAAGCAGAACTAGATCCTTCTTTTAAAATTTATATGTAGGATTTGGGACCTTATAATGGATGGTGTAGAAAAAATCCTCTCCTTTTCATTTGGTAAATTAGAAATCCCCTTTCTTTCCCTTCATGCAGGATTTGGGGCCCTTAGTGAAAGGCATATTAGAATTCCCTTCCTTTCCCTTCTTGCAGGATTTGGGGCCCTTAGTGAAAGGCATATTAGAATTCTCCTTCCTTTCCCTTCTTGCAGGATTTGGGGCCCTTAGTGGAAGGTAAATCAGAATTTCCCTTTCTTTCCTTTCATGCAGGATTTGGGGCCCTTAGTGGATTGTAAATTAGAATTCCCCTTCCTTTCCCTTCTTGCAGGATTTGGGACCCTTAGTGGATGGTAAATTAGAATTCCTTTTCCTTTCCCTTCATGTTGGACTTGGGGTCCTTAGTGGATTGTAAATTAGAATTCCTCTTCTTCTTACTTAAATGGGGTTTGAGGCCTAGAGGACATGTACATGGTATATTAGTGTTAGATATGTTAATTTGTCATTTGTCATCAAGATTCTGCCAAAATAAGTGGTACAATTAAGATAACTCACTTCAAACCAATTTATAAATTTCAGGAGTTACTTGAATTTCTTGGTTGGAGAACTTGTTGATCCTAACAGGTAAGGAAGTTAATAAAAAAAAGAACTGCTCTATTTCAATGAAATTTTACAGTAAATTTTGAAGTTTTAGGCAGATATGTTTACAGCTCAACTGCATTGTCATATATGTTAAGACCAGAATTGTTTGTGTTTATTGTCTGTCTCTGAACAATTTTCAGAATGCTTATCTTGTAACTTTTAACCAGATTTCCGTAAAACTTGGTAAACAAGTAGACAGATTCACAAGTTTGTGTTACAGTTTTGATTTCAATGAACGGTTCCCATGCTACTAAGAATAGAATGTTGAGTTAGATTCTTTCATAATGCTCCTCCTGCAGTTTTGGTTCAATTTCAAATGCAGTTGTTACTTTAGTAAACTACATCAAGATATCAGATTTTAATTTCAATTAATGGGTTTATCGTAGTTACAATACCAGCTATAGACCTAACATGACAGAAAGCAGCCCATTACCAGTCTGTCCAACAGTAGTCTTAGAAAGCAGACAAAAAAATCTAGAAATCTAATCCAAAAAGCTTTCCCAAGAGGTGCACCAAACACAATAGGTGGGGTTCATCAATAAATGGGTGGAGCTAAGTTATCACTCAGCAATCTGCAATGAATACATGTATGAGGGTGTCAACAAAAGTGAAAATGGGTAGCAAAGCAAGGAGTGAGAATATTCAGGAAGTTTTTGCTATCCCCTTTTGTTAATCCATTGCGTTTCATAAATGTTTGAAACCATGGGCTAATTTCACTGCAAATTTTCCTTGGAAAAAACTTTGTTAAATAGACGGTACATATAAGAAAATTGCAAATTATAAAGACCATCACTGACAAAATTTTTATAAAAGCTTTCATTTATAGAGTTGGAACCAAAAGCAACAAAAGGAGCACAGTATTATTTAGAAAAATACAATTAAAAATACTTAAAATAACCAAATAGTTTACATAGTGATTCCAATCATGATTTTCCATCTTAACACGTATGACTGATATTTAATTGTCGATTATTTTCAGAAATTTACCAAGAGCCATCCTTATATCCATGACTTTAGTGATTGTTACGTATTTAATAGCCAACGTAGCATATCTGGGAGTTCTGAGTCCAGCAGAAATGCTTCTATCACCTGCTGTAGCTGTGGTAAGTTGTATTTCTTATGGAGATAACTGTATACTGGGAAATTTTTGCTGTTTGTTGTTTTTTAAATTCAATTGCATGGGGTAAAACCACACATCAATGATATATTTTTAAATGTAGAAAGAAAAAATAAAAACTAACTTCTTTTCAAAATGCTCACAATGTAGTCAGGGGTGATACTGACATTCATCATATTGAAAAATGATTGATAATTGTCATTTCTACTAACTACATAATGTAAGTGTTTTTATTATTTTTGTAAATATGACTTGTTTTCATCATATTTCCAATTCCCAAGTTAATTCTTCCGACCCATTTACTACAGTAACAAGATATAGTAAACTATCCTGCCATGGACCCATGTGTAGCGAAACATCTTGACAAACAATTGAAACCAAAATAAAGTAGTGTGCCCCATAAAACTAACAAGATAATTAAGTGCACCCAGACCTACCAATTTTATAAAAAATGGTGAAATACAGTCATATTTATTTTCAGAAGTAACTCTGTATTTAATAAAATAAACTCCAAATAGTTATGACTTTTTTCTTCATTATTTTAAAAAATGATGAATTTTAGTCATTATTAAAATCAATTTTATGACTACAAATCATCATTTTTAAAAATGATGAATTTCAGTCTCATCCGTGACTGATGAATAACGAGAAATAAAAATTTCATCAAGTATATCTACAATTAATTTTGCTACAAAATACAGACACTGTGTTTATTCTAACAAAAGAGAAAGTGGCAATCTTATTAAGAGTTGCTGTGGATCAATTTTTATATAGCCATGCATCAAATTCACATTAATCATCGGTGTTTGGCAGGAAAATCAAATAAAAAGAAAAACAACGAAATAATCAGGAAACTACTTTAATGGGCAAACAAGAAGGTTAGAAACGTAGACTTTTAAAGTTTAGTTTAATTTTAGCGTTACAATTTTACAACTGTGGCAGTAAAACGGGTTTGATCACCGTTGGCCAGATAGCTCAATTGGTAGAGTACCTGACTGGAGATTGAGGGGGCCTAGGTTCAAATCCCGGTCTGGTCCGTTGCATTTTTCTCCTCTTCTGTTACATTTAGTGCCGTGTCGTGCCCTGGAAGTGACGGGTAAAAGACATGTCCGGGAAGAGCCTGGGTTGGTGTCTTCAGGGGTAAAGGCCTTTAGGGAGGGAGAAATGTGGTTGTCAGATGGGTTCAATCAATGATGGCCAGAGTTGGTAGAACATCTAACTAGAGATTCAGGGGGCCTGGGTTTGTATCCAGGCTTGGTCTGTCGCATTTTTCTCCATTCCTGCTACACAACCATTAAGATTTGATCCAAATTCATAAATATTGAAGAGTTGAGCTCTATAATTGGGTTTTGTAATATACTGTTATTATCCTAGCTCTTCATGACAAAAAGGATGAATTTATTCAACAACATGAACAGGCTTCCATATTTATTTACTTTCAATGGAGTCTGGTTAATTTGGATCATGGAATAAAGACCCCTTTCTATGATTGTGATACTTTGTTTACAATGTTATAATTCTATATTTAATTCAAAAACTTTTAAATTTTTTTTTCATATTTGATGCCATTGAAACCTTTAAGGCTTTTTGATTTTTTTTATTTCCTAAATCGGCGACTGGGGCAAAATAGCTAGCTTTTTGAGAGAAGAGATTAAAAGGGAAATACCAGTGGTCTTAAATTTTTTCACTCAAATAGGTAGAAAAAGTTGATTAAAGTTGTTGATTGTGGGAGTATCAATTAAGTCTTTATGATTTTCAAAAATTCTCCATAATTCCCCCCCCCCCCCCCCCCCCCCGCCCCAATTTCTTCAAAACGTCAATTAAATTTTCCCGATTTCAAAGAAAATGAGTTTCCACAATAGGCTTATAAATTCCTGAACTCATTTTCATTTTATATCTTATTTGTAAAGGCCAAGATTTGGAACCGTATGGTACTTTCATGCATGGGACAGTATTCATTATGGAGAATTTTATAACTCAGGGTGAACATTTTTATTGAGAGATAAAACTAGCTATTGATTTTTTGCGACAAGCTAGCAATTAGTTCATTTAGACAAAAATTCAATCAATATAGTACTGGTAATAATTTGACATTTTTATACCCCCTGAAAACAAGTTTGGGAGGTATATTGGAATCAGCAAGTCCGGCTGTCTGTCCGTCTGTCTGTAGAAGTGATTTTGTCTGGACCAGGTCTTGGAGACTATTGCATGGATTTGTCTGAAAATTTGTACATTCATTATTCGCTGTATGAAGGTGTGCATCTGATATTTTTATAATGATTGGATTATTTTTCTGCATTTTACAGATGTTTTTCATTTTTGGTTCATGTAGGTTTGCGACAGAGATTCTAGAACTGCCAGTTGGTACATCTGTATAAAAATGTGAATTGCAGCTTAAAACTAATCATTATGGCCAGCATTTTTTGAAATTTTGGTTTACAAATTCGCCGACCCATTTTATTGAAAACTGAAATAAAAATAAAAGGCCTAGAACTTGATTTAAATTTTATTTTTTTCTCCAACCTGAAATTTCTTTCTTGGTAAAAATAAAAGACCTGTATTTTCACTTATTTTTTGCCATTAATTCCCAACCAATGAAAAAATTTCCAGGCAGCTTGCTCTTATTATTCGTAAATCTCAACAATCTTATCCATTTTGCACTACTACCTGACTTATTTACTTCCAAAAACGATATTTTTTTCCCTAATCGTATTTCTTACATTCCTCTATTTATGGTAAATACAAGCAGATATCTCATTATATTATTTACGATGATCATCACTCAATCAAGTGAAAGATAAGTGTATAATAAAAAAAGATTTTCACTGCATTTTAGATGAGCTAGAACTGCCAGAAAAAGGGAAGATAATTTATTTAAATTCATTTTTATTTTCTATCATAATTGTCAATATATATATATATATATATATATACTAGATGAAATCCCGTGCAAGCGCTGGGAATTGAATTTATAGCACTACCGACAGAAAAAATCCAATAATATATATATATTGTAGTTTCTACTGACAGCCTACAGCCTACAGGCTTATAGCAGGAAGAAATACTTTGTTCAAAATCCTGATGAAGTAGAAGTATGTCTCCACCCCCACCCCCACCCCCTTTGTAAAAAAAAATAATTTCATTAATTGACGTATATTGCGAAACCTGTTATATACTATGTTATGGATACTGTACTTCAGGTGCTCTTATTTCATTTCCGTCAAAAAATGCACATTTTACTGAGAAATTGATTTTTTTGGGGGGTAAAAATTCATAGGTACTTGGGTCTTGGTACATACATATTTATAATCCAAGACCTAAGTACCTGTGTAAAATTAGCTTTTATATAATGCCCTTTGAATACACCGGCGGATTTAGAGGGGGACCCAGCCCCCTCCCGTTTTGTGTCCAAAATATACATAAAATTTAATAAATCATTTTAATAAATCATTTTTGGGGGGGGGGGGGGTGTCCGTGGGCCCCTACCCAACCCCAATCTGGTCGCCTCCCCCCTTTTGAAAATTCCTGGATCCGCCACTGGAATAGGCCGAGTATTTGATACAAAAGACTGTATTCAGAAAAAAAATGAAATATATTGATTAAAGCGCAAAATTTTACAGCATTATGTATTTGAACAATACCTTATTCATTAATTTTCTCTTTTCATGTAAGCAGGTTTATTACGAAGTACAAATTGTACTTCGGGTTCGTTGCCACAATGCTCTCAGTGAGAAATATATATACAAATTTTACCGATAAATTTATTCTGAAAACCTACTAAATATAAAATTATGTAATAGTCTTTCGATATATAAATATATTCACAACGTACAATGATTTACCATTATTTCAATGACAAAAGCTTTTTTTTATGTGAAAGCAGCTATTTTCTTTTTAACATCAGGCTCGATGCTATATGATGTTCTAGAAGCTTCCATCAATATTACGATCGGTGGATGATGAAAATAATTTGCACATTTTCCTTTTTAATTGGTTATCACAACTTATTTCTTTTATATCATTTAAATCAAGTTTTGATTGAATAATTTAGTAATGACGTTTAATGAAATAAATAAACGATTGCTTGTTGCCAGTTTCATTAAAAATTGCCAGTAACTTAGATCCGCCAACCGGAAATGCCACCGTACTCACGTTTTTGCTATTTCATGGATGTTTATAGAAAATAAAAGTAGACTTTTAATTTAATGTACGATACTTACAATGCAAGTGAAATCTAAATATAGTTTATGGACATCATCTTGTATCTAGTGTTTTGTTAGAGGAGTAAGTAAGAACTCTGGTCCACCCGTTTCGGAGTTTATTTGCAAAATTTATTAATTTATAAGTATAGATATATATATTTCAATTTTTCTTGTGAGAATTAAACTTTAATTTGAAAAAGAATGACCTTAAGACCATACATGCCAACTTTCCTGATTTAGGTGGGATCCTCCTGATTTTACCCTTTGATCCCGCTATCCCGATCAGGAAAGCAAAATTGGCGTAAAATCCCGATTTGAAAAAATTCACCTAAAAATTTCCGATTTTCAGAGTTTCCCATATTTTGTCAATCGGGATAAGAATATCAGACTTGTTTATTCAATGTACACAGCTTTGTTTCCATGTTTATTTAACGCGTGCAGTTCATCATAGTGTTATCCTTGTTCATGTTTAAATGTAATGCGACTCATTCATGGAACTTTGCAGTACTCCAGACTATGTGAGTATCCTATGAGTTACTTTGAATGACATATAAGTAGGGATGTCAAAATATTTATTTTCTTTAGCCGAATATTCGATTGCATTATTTGAACGATAGTCGAATATATTCGAAACTTTTTAGGAAACTAAATTTTTTTTTTTTCAAACTTCACTGGTACATGACATATTTAACCCCAAATCCCCTTTTCTTAAATTTTTTAAAAAGTAACATCAAATGTTACACACAAATGTTCACAAGGACCTAACATGTGGATAGCGTAATTA